GCTGCGGCCGCCATTGCGCGCGTAGCCGAGGGCGGCGAACGTCGAGCTGGCCGCGAGCAGCAGCACCGTCCAGGCCCACAGGCGGCTGTTGCCCGCCAGCACCTCGGGGTCGCTCACCCCGCACGTCGGCTCGGGGAGCGGTGGCGCGCCTGGGCACGCGGGCACCGCCGGGCACGGCGGGCAGGCCGGGCACGCGGGGACCGCTGGGCAGCTGCCCGCCGAGACTATGGCGGCGGTGCCCAACGATCGAACAACCTCGTAAAAAAGGTTCAGCCCGAAATCCATGCCATCTGAGGCCCCACTTTGAGCCCAGAGAAGACTATGGAAGCGTTGTACCGCTTGACGGCGGTCGGGCTTGCCTAGATGATTCACGTGCGAGCACTTACATATATATGTGTGTGTATGTATAATCCCACCAGCCCTTTGGACGACAGGTGCTCTAACGAGGGCCTCTTTCCTCTTCCACAACCCCTCTTCCCTTCGGAGAGGGGAACCCTCCCCCTCCCCTCCCTGGGGTTTTTTGGGGAGGGATCGCGAGGTGTCGCAGGCTCCTTTTTCGGCCCTTGGGAGGGCCATGTTTTGCCACCCCTCACGAGGATCGTGGCCCCCGAGGGGGGAACCTAAATCGAATTCCCCCCCCTCTTTTGACCGACCGCCTCCAAGATGGCCCCAAGAGGCGCTCCAGGGCTCCCAAGAGGCCCCCAAGAGGGCTCCAAGAGCACCCCAAGAGGCCCCAAGAGGGCTCCAAGAGGCACCAGAGAGGCACCCAAGAGGCCCCCGAGCGGCCTCAGAGAGCCCAATATGACCTCCAAGATGGCTCAGATAGCCCAAGCTGGCTCAAGATGGCCCCAAAGATGCTCCAAATGGCCCCAAGACCGCTCCAAGACGGCTCGAGATGGCCACGGAGCCTCCCAAGCCTCCCTCGTTGTTTGACTATGCGTGCCTCTTCCTCTCTCCCCCCGTCAACTCTCATGGGCATCGTTTCTGGATGGGCTGGTGGGGACGAGAGGCGTCAAGAGTACGTGCATACGTGTATATATAATATACTATAATGTCGCCAGGTCTGCCGACATCCAGACTCGACAATCATTTGTGTGAGTTCGCTTCGCTAGTTTCGGTGCTATGTCAGTCGCCAAACCCAGCAAAAACATCAAGCTCAAGATTGCCGAGTGACCTAGAAGACCGCCACCACCTCCACATCCTCCGAATATGAAAAACGCGCCGGGGCCGCAAGAGCGAAATAACGACAAACAAAAAAACGATAGCCGAGCTTCACTGGGATGGGTGGCATGCATATCACCCAACCCTGTGAATCCCCCCTCAAAAAAGGGGACCGGCCACCAACTCATTCTCCTATTTACTAAAACGTTACCTGCATCTTTCCCGCTGAAACTGATGTTACCTGGAGCTTTACATGTACGTGCACCTTCTCAACATATGAGGAAGAGCGATCAAGACGGAGGGCGGGTTGAGCAATTGATGTGTGTGTGCATGCATACGTTCACATACCAGTGCAACTATGAGTGTACGCTTACGTACATGGTTCTCCTGCGCACGCACGGTCGCGTCCAATGACTGCTCACACCCCTCTATGGCCTGCCCCCTGCAAGGAGAGGATGGAACCCTGGCCTCATGCTGTTCCCATCGTACTTGAGGACTACATCCGAGAAATGATTTCGAGAACCCAGAGAAGTATCGAAGCAGTGTCTGCCCGACACGCTGGCGAAGTACCGAACGGGAATCACCTCCCAGGGCCCTAAAAAAGAAAAACCTTCCATTCTGCTGCTGTCCTGGTGCTCGAAATTCCTCCTGGCGATCAAAGCTAAAGTCGGCTGGAACATCACAACCCCGGCCGTGAATGCCCAACCGATCCGTCCACTCACGCCTCGAAGAGCGAGGGAACTCGGGGCGCGGCGCGTTAGGTCGGGCATGTCCTTCTCCCTAGAGGCGGATTTTGGACAACCAAAAACAGGGTGAAAAATAGTCAAAACATCGTTCCCAGAGTATTTTTGGACTATTTGTGAATATTCCTCCTGGAGAGGGACATGCCCGACTTAAAGCGGCGCGGGGGGGGGGGGGGCGGGCACCGCCGCCGAGCGAGCTCGCCTCGCTCCCTCCCGTTCCTGGACTGCGCGGGCCTCCCCTCCGACTCCACCTCTCGGCGGCGAGCGGGAGGGGGGGAATGCGAAGGAGGAGGCCCAGGGCTGGACCTAAGCGTTGTTTTTCGTTTTGTTGTCGTCTTGTTGTTCGTTTGGCTCTACCTGCTCTCCTGCACCTCCCTGCCAAAGCGAGAAAGAGAACACAGCCGAAGTCCAGCAAAACAGCGTTCAGGTCCAGCCCTGAGGAGATCTTCTCAGAAGGCGGCGGAACTTCTCAGAAGTCATCGCGCATTCCGAAAGGTTTTCTGTCTCCGGGGAACACTAAGCAAACCTCTCAGAAGGCTGGGAGCCTTCTGAGGAGGCCCGCCCCTTCTGGCTTCTCCCCCTCGCCCGCCGCCGAACCTCTTTCTCGGCGGTGGACAAACCTGCCTTTAGGAAACCTCCCTTTAATGAAAACGGCCTGGGACCGAAACCGACGGACCTGGACCCGCAAAAATGACGGCCGCCGCGACGCCCTCTTGCGAACCGAAAACGACCGATTCGCTAATCAACGTGTCAGGGTAGGAGGTCTGTCCACCCCCGACTTTCGGGGAGACGTAAGACTCGTGTTCGGGGGACTCGGGTTGGCCTAACGGGGCCATCATGAAAATAACGATGGCCCAGTCTGAAAATTGGTGCGAGCTCAGGCTGTAAACGTCCCACGAGAACTGGACCGTCAAGATCCGGGACGCGCTCGTCAAAAAACGTCGGCAAACCCGAGTTCCGGAGCACTCGAGTCTTACGTTTCCCTGACCCTTATACGCCTCCCCTGCTCTTCGTGCTCGTGGGGTGGCAACCAGTCGCCTAAACCCCCCGATCGGCTACACGTAAGAGCGACCCTAGGCAAGAGTGACCTTCGGTGCGCGGTCTTAGGGGGGGCGCGGGGAGGCCAAAACTGAGCGCGCACGCAGCCGCTACCGCTTCGCGCTCAGCGACCGGGGGACCCCATTGGGCCCGCACCAAGGGTCACTCCAGCGAAAAGTCACTCTTACGTCTAGTCGACCCCAGGCGACCACGTGTCAGCCCTACCCCTGCAGCTCAGATTTCCGAAGCACCGGCGGGGGCTCAGAACTTGAAGGATGGTTGCAGCCAAAAGAAGGTACCATGCCCCAGCGTCGAGTGGACCCGCAGGGAGTGCCCAGAACCCCAGCGTCGTGATTTGTTTACAACGTCGACCCCCAGAGGTCTGTACCCCTTGCCCGGGACTGGTTTGTCATCTCGAGTCGTTTTTCCCAACCATCCTGTGGTGCTGGGTTCTCGTTTTGAAAAGACAGCGCCCCGCGTCTCCCTCACTCCTTCCTCCTCTCCCCTCCCTCCTCCATCGTCATCATCATCATCATCATCATCATCATCATCAGCAGCATCAGCATCATCACCATCATCATCATCATCATCATCAGCAGCAGCATCATCATCATCATCAGCAGCAGAATCAGCAGCAGCAGCATCAGCATCATCAGCATCAGCATCACCATCAGAATCATCATCATCAAAATCGTCAGCTACATCATTATCATCGTCGTCATCATTATTGTCAGCAGCAGCAGCAACATCAGCATCAGCATCAGCATCAGCATCAGCATCAGCATCAGCATCATCATCATCATCATCATCATCATCATCATCATCATCATCATTATCAGCAGCAGCATCAGCATCATCATCATCAGCATCATCATCATAATCATCATAATCATCATCAGTATCATCACCATCATCACCATCATAGTCATCACCATCATCAGCATCAGCATCATCATCAGCAGCAGCATCATCATCATCATCGTCGTCAGCAGCAGCATCAACATCAGCCTCAGCATCAGCATCAGCATGGGCATCACATCGTAATAATCGACGTGATGATCACCATCATCGTCATCATGATCGAAGGCACACCCATCGCGCATTTCGTGGCCCCATGGGGAGCTCCACCGAAGGCCCCAGTGGCGCAGCCCGCATGCGTCCAAGCCACCACATGCCGCACACTCCGCACACGCTTCGTAGCCCATAGGAGCTCCAACAAAGGCCCCAGTGGCGCAGCCCGCATGCGCCCGAGACGCTCATTTCGACTCGAACTACTTACACGTTTCGTGGCCCCATAGGGAGCTCCACCGAAGGCCCCAGTGGCGCAGCCCGCATGCGTCCGAGCCGCCCACTTCGGCACACCCCTCACACGCTTCGTAACCCCATAGGGAGCTTCACCGAAGGCCCCAGTGGCGCAGCCCGCATGCGTCCGATCCACCAATTTCAGCACACCCCTCACACGTTTCGTGGCCCCATAGGGAGCTCCACCGAAGGCCCCAGTGGCGCAGCCCGCATGCGTCCCAGCCACCTATTTCAGCACACACCTCACACGTTTCGTGGCCCCATAGGGAGCTCCACCGAAGGTCATTGTGGCGCAGCCCGCATGCGTCCCCGCCACCTATTTTGGCACACGCCCCTCACACGCTTGGTGGCCCCAGAAGGATTACAGCCTCGTTGGCAGCGCCCGCATGGCGGCCGCGCCCCCTTTCGGCACACCCCTCGCGCGCTTCGTGGCCCCAGAAAGGTGGTCCACCGAAGGCGACACTCAGAACGACGGTACTCACATCTGCACGTGCTTGGTCCTCCGCCGAGCGAACTTGACGGCCCCGGGGGCCCGGCCAGGGCACCGGGAGGCCGAAAATGGCGACTCGACCTCCCGCCATGACATTCTGTTCATAACGCGAGGGGGGCCCGGGTGGAGGCTCGCAAAAGGCCGCAGCCCTCCCCTCGTCCCCGTCCCCGCAACCTCTCGAGCCGCCGACCAGGCCGCCGCTCGGATATCGCAGGCGAGCGGGCCAGGAATGCTGGGGCAGGGAAGCGCAGCGGGGTGGCCCTGGCCTTGGTGCGCTGCGAGTCGCCCAATACAAATGCCACGGGTGATATCAGTTGCGTGAAGCTGGTCGGCGAACACGTGTTCAACGTAGCCATCGCCTGATCTCTTATCCACCGCGACTCTCTTTGCCTCGGTCTCTCTCTCTCTCTCTCTCTCTCCCGCGCTGTCCCGCATATCCATCCCTCTTCCTCGCTTTCCCTCTCTCTCCTTCTCTCCCTCTCCCTCTCTCTCTCTCTCCTTCTATCTCTCCCTCGTTCGCTCTTGTTCTGACTCTCTCCCTTTCTCTCACTCCCTTGCTCGCTCTCTCTCTCTCTCTCTCTCCCTCTCTACAGCCCAGCCCAGCGTCTATCCCACCCCGGTCAGAAAAGCATATACCATTACCGAGCCCTTCTCACATTCTCACTGCACTGCTCCTCCACTGCTTCGTTTCGCTGACCTGACTTCCTTTCATTCCTTTGACGGCCCTCTTTCAACAGCTAACAACATCAAAGCAAACTCGGTTGTGCGGCAAGATTACCACTCACTGCTTGCTACTTCAAAGTTGCATTGCTACGGCTAATGCTGGAACCTGCTTCGACGCGGGCAAGCACTCAGTGATATTGAGAGAGAGAGAGAGATGGACTGCAACTCTTGACCACGAGCCTCGTAGTACCGCCCCTTGCATCTCACCACTGCTCCGCGTGGGTATGGACAATTGTCAAATTTCCACTCGGCTGGCTTCGGAGATACATTTTTGAGTCTTGTAAGATCTGGTATCCATCGCCATTCTCCAAGCATTCGAGCCTGTTGCAGCACCTGCGCGCCGGGAACGCCAGAGAGATTGCGTGCGCGGCGCTTCCCCAGACCTCCGACGGTCGGTATTTTGCCCATACAAGGCACCCGGATCTCCTAACTCGGAGGCGAGCGAGGGGGGAAATGAGAAGAAGAAGGCCTTCTCGGAAGGCAAGTTGTCCAAGCCTTCCCCGAAGACAAGAAAAAGCTTCTCAGAAGGCGCGAGGGCTTCTGATAAATCCCGCCGCCTTCTGAGAAGCCCTTCTCCTTCCTTTCCCCCCCCCCTCTCTCGCCGCCGACTCGCTCCGCGCACCGCTCTCCGCGATGCGCGACTCTCTTCCCGCCCTCGCGCCCCCTCGCGCCGCCCCTGCCTTTGAAGCAGGGCCACCGCCCTGGCCCCACCAGCGACGCGCGAAACGCCACGGCCCCCTCACCTCCTGCTCCTCCTCCTCCTCCTCCTCCTCCTCCTCCTCCTCCTCCTCTCCTCCTCCTCTCTCCTCTTCCTCCTCCTCTTGCTCCTCCCCCTCCTCCTCCTCCTCCCTCCCTCCTCCTCCTCCTCCTGCTCCTCCTCCTCCTCCTGCTCCTCCTCCTCCTTCTGTTCGTCCGAGATCGTTATCTGAAGGCCCCGGGGCCCGAGAGCGGACCCAAGTAGAAAGAGCGGTCGACCCCCCCCAAAAAAACGCCAGCATCGCACACAAAAACGGGCACGACGTGTCGGAGGTCTGGTGCTGGCGAATCGGCACGCGACGGCGGTGAGCACGAAGAGTATGGCAAATAGGCCGGCGACCACAACGACGCAGGAAACGTATATCGTAGAGTATATACGATATTATACATAATTGTAGGTGCATGATATATGATATGTCCTGTAAAATATAGCAGCATATAATATAATGTAACATAGTAGACTAAAATATAATACACTATATTTAAATATACCATAGTGTAACATATTATCATATACAGCAATATTATATAATAATAGTTAGATATTATATACTTATATATCAAAAATTGATTATTATACAACTTCGAATAAGATGATATACTATAAATGGCGTGATCTCAAAGAATAGATAATATAACCTAATAATATCAAATACAATGTGGAAAATCATACAAACAATAGAATACAATAAAATATGATATAGTATAAGATGATATGAATTAATTTAATATAGTATGTTAACCTGAAATACACTATGTAATTATTCAATACAGTATAATGTACTATAATACAATGTAGTATAATGCACTGTGGTTTAACATAACTATAGTTCAAATTAGATATAATACAGTAGAATATACTGATATGCACTGAAACATAATATAGCACAATGCAAGTTAATGTGTTATAGTATGCTAGTACACGGTATACTATAACGTACTACAACACATAGTATACAATACATAATGTGTAATGTAATGAATATATAATATCATTTATGACGCATAATGTAATATATCATATATACACATACTATTGTTATATATACATATATATGTATATCGTATCAAATATAAAAGAAAACAAATATTATATATGGTACAAAACATTTAATCGAATGTAGATACATATATAAACACACTATCTCTTGGGCACTGATTGAATCCGCCGGCCCTGTCGGCGTGCGTGAGAGGGGCGTGTCTGTTCGAGTCGTCGTCTCCCTCAGTCGTCGTCTCCGTCGTCCCCTTTCTCTGCACCCTCCTCGTCAAGCTTGTCAGCGAGAGAAG